TTTCAATATGTCAACGTAATGGCATTACATTACAAAAAAATAAAACGAGGAGGAGAAGGAAGAGAGTTACGGCAAGAGGGCTCCTCATCGCCTTTAGCTCCAAAAAGCCATGAAAATAGACGTTGGGCTACTCATCTTCCTCAAATCCCTCTAATGGAAACATGTACATAGTGAAGGCTTTAAAAACACGCATGTGCTAATATTACTACACTTATTTATTTTCTTCACTATCCCAATATTGAATTAGTTATAGTATGGTTTAATTCTTTATTTGTTGCGATTTTGAGCTTATGTTACAGTAATAATTAATACATCATATTTAGTATTATAGAATATATTACTAATACATATAATATTATTAGTACACTTCATTCTATATTTATTCTTATACAATTTATCAAACCACCCTTGTTTTTTGTTTAGAAATTATACGGTACATTTCATGCAAATAAATAATTTTATCACGATAAAGTTTGAATAAATTATCTATACTACATTAAAAACATGAACTCCAAAAGAGCAATGTTAAATTACGTAAATACCCCTCACTTAAAACTTAAGAAGATTACGCAGATACCCCTCACATAAAACTTATAAAGATTACGCAAATACCCTTAAATTTAAAAAAAAAAACCTAACTACGCATCCCTCCCGCAACAAACACCTTGCCTAGCCTACGAATAGACACCACTTTCCCTGGACAGACTCCACGCTTTCACTGGAAAGACACCAACTTTCCCCTGCAACTGCCCAACGTCTAAAAAATTACCAATCAACACAACCTCTGGAGATTTCTCTAATTATATCAGCCACCGGCACAACACCGTTTCCCAATAATAATTCAACTTGTGCATAAGACGCAAAGGTATGCCATTTTTCCTCTTCTGAAACAAGCCAAATTTTAAAAAACTCAAGTCTCACATATGCACTTTCTAATTAAATTAGGTGAATATTGATCATCCATCTGCAACCACATTACAATATTGGACTTGTCTTTTAAATATTTCACTCCGCATCAAAAGTTGTAAGTTTTCACTCTGTTTAAGTTTCCTGTTATGCTTTTCATTGGACTACTTGCAGCACATACATTGCTACAACATACTTACTTATTCCTTTGTTTTAACTACTACACACTGCGGCCTTGAATTACTATTGATATTCACTTTCCGCTATGCACCTCTAACCATCCAGATTCATCACAAATGGCGACTGAAACTGAACTATCAAAGCAGTGTGTCCCCATCAACAAGATACCAAAACACTCTGTTGATTGGGTGATGCGAGTATTAGTTATTCGCAAGGGTTCTGTAATTTCGTACAGCAATACTCGCCATGAAGGGACTTTCCAAACTGTAATATTAGTGGACGATGAGGTAACACTTTTGCTCAGCTTATATGTTATCGTTCCCATTTATTCCCGTTTTACTTCTCTAATGACATCACATATCGCTTACATCAATACTAGGGGACAAAGTTGCAAGCAACGCTATTTAACAAGCATATCGACACATGGAAAGACTTCTTGAAGACAAATAAGACGTACTACATTGCTAACGGGTTGTTGGATCGGGTTAATCCCAACTACACTTCCGTGCACAAAGAGATTGAACTGACCATTACAGATAACACAATCATAAGGGAGAGCGACCATGTTGTTTCAACACACAACTTCTCTAATGGTTTTGTATCTTTGGAACAGGCAGAGAAATTGCCTAATGGTGCCATATTTGGTAACTCTTCATACGACTTGTTAATAATTTTTGTCAATTACATCATACAGATCACTAATTTATATATCCGCTATTCAGACTTGCTTTGCGTGTTAGTTACGGTGAATCCCATCATTGAAAAAGGCGATAGCAAAAGACGCGAAATTGTTGTTACAAATGAACTGTAAGTTGCCCTTCTTTGTTCTCCATTGTCCATAATAATCTGGCAGTGCACTGACAGTACTTATCTAATTCATAATCCAGCATGGACTGTACGACTGTTACTCTGTGGGGAGATTTTGCACTAAACGACGGCGCCTTTCTTGAAAAGCTTAAAGATGACCAACCTATTCTAGGCTTATGTGACGTGCGAGTCTCAATCTATAAAGGTATAGACAACCTCTCCTATTTGCTGATTGTACAAATTTCAAGTATATTTGCTAATTTCTCGAATAAATATGTTGATTCCAATGTAGGGATTTTTGGGATATCAACTCTTCCCGTGAGCAGTGTGTTGATCAATCCAATCTTTCAAAAAGCACTAGATCTTCGCGCATGGTACAAAACCTCATTAACTAATATGCTCGACAATTTTTATTTACCGTTACTTCCACAACTTATGTTCAAACAAGAATTTAACAACATAGCCACAATTTGTTTATAGGGAGAACTATATACAACCATGCCTATCAAGTTAAATTTTAATCTAACAAATTTTAAACCCACAAACATTTCCTCAATTATGTGCTACAATTAACTCACCTCTTTCGATATACAGGCGTGAAGTCATAAAGGCCGAAAAGAAAGCTATCACAACCACACCAAGTAAGGTAATGAGAAAAGCCACAGAAGTGACATTACCCAATATTATGGATGGCACGCTTGCTGATACACAGGTACCTCCAAAACGACACTTTACCTATCCAAACAGGACCATTGTTTACCAAAAATAATGTTGTATATTGGCTATTAACAATGTCCAGGGAGCTTTATACAAGTTCAAAGCCAAAATTATAGACATACTCAATACAGATGAACCATGGTACTCGTCCTGCAAAAAGTGCCACAAGAAAGTGCAAGTTAAACAACATACAACGACATGTCCCAATTGCAACATCCAGAATGTGGAGTATGAAATGAGGTTAGACTTGCCTAAAATAAGCAATCAACATTTTATGATAATATACAACCAGTTTAACTATGAACTCTAACTTATTCACCTTATTTTAAAGATACTACTGACGGCTTGAAGTTTGTGCTGGAGAACAACGTGCTCGGGTTATACTATTTGATGCGGCACAAATGTTAGTAGGTTACAATGTCGAAGAGTACATCAAAACAACCTCGGAAAATGTATGCCTTGTACTTCTAACATCTTACACCATATTTCAACGTACTTTAATCCCAACAATAAATAAGTGTATGACTAACTTTCAGAACTATTTTTATGCTAATATATCCAATTGTTGACATTTCTTACAGAAGGAAGAATGTATGTACTACCACAGATTGGTGTTGATTAAAGACAAGGAATTCAACTTCCTTGTCCGCATCGATATGAATAATTCAAACCCGCGAAGGAGTCTAATTGCTCAGGAAATACATGCCATTGAAGATGAAGCGGTAATTATAATGTCAGATGAATCAAAATCACTAACACCACCCACAAACAGGGGCAAGAAATCCACTGCGTTAGAAAGACATGTTCTTGAAGATAAATCACCAATCATAGTGGAAGAACCACAAAATGTGAAGCCGCGAAGGAAGAGGTCTAAGAAATCCAATGCGCTACATGTCCTTGAAGATGAAGCACCAAACATAGTGGCGGAAGTACAATCCGTAAGGCTGCGAACAAAGAGGGGCAAGAAATCCAATATGCAACAAATACATGTTGTTGGAGAAGAATCACCAAACATAGTGGAAGAAGTACGATCTGTTATGTCAACAACAAGCACGAGCAAGAAAATCAACAATGAACATCTCCAAATTAAAACTAAGTTCACAAAAGTCGAGTCATAATAGATGACTTCGTTGATAGTGTTACCGAGCATAATGTATGTATGTTAGTAATGTCTGTATTTTAATGGCTTCATCGGCTGCTTTAACTAATATATATATATATATATGTTTATTATTACCTAATTAAGTGTGAATTATGCAAATAATAGCACCTTAATAATTCAAATCTAAATCGCTTAGGCTGTTGTTTATAATATCCTATCTACCCCCCCCCCCCTCTCTCCACCCATAAAATAACGTATATTCATCACATTTAAAACGATTAAACCATTGAATAAAAATACTCAATTAACCAACCATAAAGTAGTATTACTTAGAAACATTGAATATAAAGCCTAAAATATCCATTATAACTAACACATCTACCATTGCACGAGAAATTCGTTAAAGTAAAGACAATGTCCTAGACCGAGAAATATTGATACAAACACGAATAACTCTTACGCGAGAAATGTTTCCTCTTACGACTTTAAGGACTAACGCAACAAAAGAAATACTAAGAAACTTCAAATTTACATTTAAAAAAACAAAACATGAAAATACACTAACCCCAGGGAAGACCCATCACCGAAAACATTTTTTAAATAACAACATCCTCACTACACTTTCAAATTTACAAACAACAAGAAACCTCCTAAAAGCCAATAAGCAAATCAATACACTTTAAACATACTACTACGGTAAATAATAAGCAACATGTAAAATAGAGATTTAATTATTCCACTAATTCGACAGTACAATTGTAAGCTATCGAACGTCGACGTCAATGGCACCTCTGGAGCATCGCGCCCATCCAGAAGAGTTACAACCTCCTGAAAAGTTACAACCACACCCAAAAGAGGCCAATTGAAGTAATTCCAACCGTTCGCCGAGGATACCTTTAAAACAAACGCCCAATGCCAATGCACATCAAACTAAAAGGAACAGAAAAAACTTTGAGAAATTGCTAAGATCTTGCCGCGCCATTACAATACTACTATCTGTACGACTTTACTGAACGGGCACATCTGCATAAATTTCTGAATTGTTTGGGAGAATTGCCAATCCAAACTACAAACTGTAAGTAACAAATCATTCATTTTTACCATTGTTCAATGTTCTTACTACTCTGCCTTTGTGAACATCTCTCAATAATCTCTGATTTGGTACACTCATGCTGAGATTTGTTCGGCTAACCTGCATGCGTTTTATAATTTAGAATTCCCTCCCAAACTCCGCTACTTTGAAAGGAATATGGCCGAATTACACAAAAGAAGTATATGACAGTCATACATGGTGGTAACAAAAATAGGAAACCTGACAGCCCATCTCCCTAACCCCCATGACATAGGAAAACCATACTTGAATAATAATCGCTATGCTCGCGAGGAAGTTGTTGACTATTACTACTATTTGCTTCAACCTGGTAAACTAAGGAAAGGGTTACAAAAGACTCTGCCCACACGCTTAAGGGATGCACACCCATTAAATAAGATGAAGATGAAAATTCAATAAGTATATGCTACAAAGAGGACCTTAGTTGAAGATGTCTAACAAAATAAACCACCAATGCTCTGATTGTCGGTTGATCAGGACTCACTAGCATATAGATGCTGATGTATGGACTTGCCCTAGACTAAAAATGTACATCAGTACTCCTACAAAAAAAATAACCCAGTCACACTTGCACACACACGTTAATAAAATTTTAGTAAAAAGATTGTGATAGTGGACCATGATGAAGATGTCCTTAAAATTATTACATATATTGTACAATAACTTGAATATGTGGTATTGTGTTTACATTGACCGTATGACTTTCATGATTACTACCTGATTGACTATTTTAGAGAAAAATTGAAACAACTGATGCATTTACATACTCACAATATTCAAACAGGTCACTCATTACTCAAAGAGAGGATTATCAAACATGGACTGCCAATCTAATCAACGGGTCAAAACAATAGGTCAGAAATACGTGCCCTAAATTTAATCATTACTTTTAAAAGCAAGACCAAATCAAAGTGAGAAAACACTAACATGCTAACATCACAAATTCAATAGGACACAAACGTAAAATACTGACAGATGTAGAAAGGGCATTGCGAAGGGTGCAAAAATATACTGCCTCTACAAAGCCATCAGAAGTTGGATATATAGAACCAAAGCTGAAGAAGCGGAAAAAAAGTTGGCTACTTCAAGCTTTATCAGAGGAGAACTATAATGAAGGTAAATTGACTAAAATATATTACACTACAACTTACACACCTTTAAGTGAAGTCACCAAAGAAATATGTTATGCTAAAAAACTCAATTTTGAATTGTGAATGTAGGCGAAACAAATGTGAACTTATCAACAACATCAACTCATAAGCTGCAAAAACAATTGGATTGCATCTATTGTCATGCCATGAGGCTTGAATATGAGCCACCAACATTTTGTTGCGCAAGTGGATATATTCAGTTGGCCCCCGACGAAGTTGGAGAGGACTTATACAAATTATTTACAGATGAGTCCAAAGAAGCCATCCTATTTCGGAAACATATTCGAGCGTATAATAGCATCTTTGCTTTTACATCATTTGGAGTACAACTCAACAAAGAACTGGCATCTTCAAGGAAAGGCATTTACAGCTTTAAGGCGCAAGGACAAATCTATCACGACCTACCATCATTGATCCCGAAGGATGACAGGCCACGTTACTTCCAGCTATACTTCTATGATACAGATCATGAAGTCGCCAACAGAATGTCAATACTACAAGATGCTAATTTATCCGAGGAAGTCATGAAAAAAATCAGGAAAATAATGGAGCAAAATCCATATGCAAAATTTTTTACACAACTAAAGCATCATTCAAATTTTCAGAACTTAGAAATACGCATAGCTGCAAATGCTTTTTTAGATCAACGGGTGTATAACAAACCTTCAGTAGATCAAGTTGCGGCAATTTGGGTAGACGGAAACAATCCAAATATCTCATTTGAAAGAGATATTGTAGTACACGAACATTCCGGGAACAAACATCGAGTAAAACATTATTATGGTTGTTATGATCCTCTACAGTATCCATTGATTCTACCAAATGGTGAAGGAGGTTGGCATCAAGGAATAGTGAAATCTCACAATCCAAATATCACCATTCCTACATATACAACAACAGCTGCCAACATATGCCCTCGATCATATGCCAGTGCAACAGAGGTTTTGAACAATGAAGAACAAGGTTAGCACATTTACATTCTGCCATCAATCAAGTAATTCACCCCCACACATAGTATAATAAGAAACTCAATTAATTTTCCGACTAACAGCTTCATATGGAGAACAAATCTAAGGCAACAAATATCAAACAACAACAATATATGTAATTGCTTAAAAAACATGTTCCAGAGGGGTAGTAATTAAATTCAATGAATGTGGTAAACTAACACAACTACATGCAAAGAAATATATTCTACTATAATATACTTGTGAACGTGATGTGGTAATAATATAATATTCAAAGAAGGCCACACATACCTCATGATAAACTGCACTCAAAACTAAACTTATTTAAATTATTTGTAGGTGTACGACGCGAAACAAGAGGTTATGTTTCATGCAGAGAGTACTACTGCTATAAACTACAAGTACGAACGAATGACAAAACAATTTTGTTGCTATCTGGTAGATTGTTACAACAATTTGTAGTGGACATGTACATAAAATTGGAAACCACGCGACTTGAATATTATAGATTCGAACAATCAAATTACAGAAGAGAGATATTACAAGGTATCGTTGATAGTGTTACGGCAGGCGAATGCAGAGGAGAGAAGGTCGGGCAAAGGGTCTTACTACCAGGGTCATTCATTGGAGGCCCGAGGGATATGCGACGACGCTATATGGATGTTATGGCACTGGTACAAGAGTATGGAAGACCAGATCTATTTATCACCATGACGTGTAACCCTGAATGGACAGAGATTCAAGAACAACTATGTGCGGGGCAAGTTGCTCAAGATCGTCCAGATTTGGTGACTAGAGTGTTTAGGGCAAAATTGCAGGACCTGAAAGACCAAATATTTAAAAAGGAAATTTTTGGCCCGACAGCAGCACATGTTTTTGTAGTTAAATTTCAGAAGAGAGGCCTACCACATATACACCTACTACTAATTTTAAAACAAGGTCATAAAATAACATCAGCAGATCAGTATGATCGATATATTTCGGCAGAGTTGCCTGCTAAGGATAAGCAGCCAGAATTACATGAATTGGTTATTAAGCATATGATTCATGGTCCTTGTGGTATAAAACGACAATCAAGTCCATGTATGAAGGACGGACAATGTAAGTTTCACTACCCCCGAGCATTCAACAACAAAACAATACAAAGGAGAGATGGATATCCTATTTACCGAAGAAAAAATGATGGGAGGACAAGCGAGGTTCGAGGAATGAAGATGAATAATCAGTGGGTTGTCCCTTATAATCCATATTTATTGAAGAGATATAATTGCCACATTAATGTAGAGGTTTGCTCAGGTGTTAAAGCAATAAAGTACCTGTACAAGTATATATATAAAGGACATGATAAGTGTGCAGTTTACATTGAGTCAGACGAGGGTGAAAAATTCATAGATAAAATTCGAAGCTTTCAAGATACACGTTGGGTGTCACCACCTGAAGCGATGTGGAGGATTTACGAGTTTACTCTAAGCGAAATGCAACCAGCTGTTATAAACCTACAACTACATCTACCCGGTAAACAAGCAGGTATCCTAAAACATATTCTCAGATAGTATAAATACAAGTCACAGTTCTCCAATCAAAGCGATTAATATTAATAATAAGCTTCTGTTTTAAAATGTAGTCTACTATTGGAAGAAGCAAAATCTTCAAAATATTGCAGGCTCCCAGTTTGTACAACAAACTATGTTTACTGAGTATTTCAGGATGTGCTTGAATGACACTGACGCTCGCAATTATCTATATAGAGAATTCCCCAAGCATTATGTTTGGAATTCCCAATCTAAAGTTTGGACTAAAAGAAAATCGCGCTCCGTGATCGGCAGAATAAATGTTGGTAAGTATTACACTTTGATATATGGCATTTATGAGTTAAACAATAAACTAACTAGGATGATCGAAATCACAGCTAATCCTAGAGAAGGAGAAAGGTATTACGAGAGATTATTATTAAATCATGTTCGAGGTCCGACATCATTTGAAGACTTACTCACTGTTAATGGAATACATTGTCATACTTTCAAAGAAGCTGCCAAGGAAAGAGGTTTATTAGAATCAGATGATAGCATTTCAGAATGCTTACGCGAGGCTGTAATCTTTAAGATGCCTGTAGCTCTTCGAATGTTGTTTGCGACAATTTTAGTTCATTGCAACCCAACAGATGTAAGAAGACTATGGGACACATATTATAACGATATGTCAGACGACTTTCAGAGGACCCATGCCAAATCAGCCGAGGCCAAACTCCAAAGTACGTTGAAAAGTGTAAATTCATACTTGGAGAGTATGGGTCAAAGTGTTGCAAAATTTGATATGCCACAAATCCAACAAGAATTACATCAAGGTGACACATATGAATGCCGAGAAATAGTCGAAGAAAGGTCTGTGAAGGTGCCAACTGAAGATATGGAGGCACAATCAAAGTTGAATGAACAACAAACGCAAGCATTCAAGACTATCTTGCAAAGGACCGACTCTGGAACACCAGGATTATTCTTTGTAGATGGACCCGGTGGAACTGGAAAAACATATCTATATCGGGCATTGCTGGCACATATAAGATCAAGAGGTATGATAGCATTGGCATCCGCCAGCAGCGGGGTAGCAGCAGCAATCTTACCGGGAGGTCGTACAGCTCACTCGAGATTTGGAATACCTCTACAAGCTAATGAAACAACAATGACAAATATGTCAAAACAAAGTGGCGGGGCTAAACTTATTAAACAAGCCAAACTAATAATATGGGACGAAGCACCAATGGCTAAGAGACACGCAATTGAAACAGTCGACAGAAGCTTTCGTGATATAATGGAAAAAAATGTACCTTTTGGGGGAAAAGTAATGGTATTTGGAGGTGACTTTCGACAAGTGCTACCGGTGGTTCCAAAATCAACACGAGCAGAGACAGTGGATGCAAGTTTGGTAAGGTCATATTTGTGGCCTTTGATGGAAAAAATTCATTTAACATCCAACATGAGGGCAAGAACAGATCCAAATTTTAGCAACTTCTTGATTCGTGTTGGAAACGGCGAAGAGAACACAATACGGGATAATTTAATACTACTACCACAACAAATAGTGGTCCACCCAACTGGTCAGGGTAAGGCAGAAGAATGCTTGGTAACAGAAATTTTTAAAGGGCTACAACAAAATTACAGATCGGCAAAGTTTATTACTGAAAGGGCAATCTTAGCAAGTCGAAATGAATTCGTAGATAATATAAATGAAATGATGATTACTCGATTCCCAGGAGAAACCAGAACATATATCAGTTTCGACTCGGCAGAAGATGATACCAATAATTACTATCAAGAAGAATACCTAAATACATTAACTCCAAATGGTCTGCCGCCACATAGGTACATCAATATACTCAATCTGTCGTTAACATTTTAATTATTATATTAGTTTGAATTCCTGTACCAGATCAACAACAAAGGTGTGGTAAAATACATAACATCATATGTATCTTTAAATTAAACATATTAGGTTGGTTTTGAAAGAGAATGCGCCTATCATGATGCTGCGCAATTTAGACCCATCAAATGGTTTATGCAATGGGACACGATTGATTTGTAGAGGTTTTGACAACAATGTCGTGCATGCAGAAATAACTACAGGAGAATTTGCAACAAAACATGTGTTTATACCAAGAATCCAATTATCGCCGCCTGAGAATGAAGGATATCCTTTTAAATTTATTCGGAAGCAATTTCCAATACGTCTATGTTTTGCCATGACAATAAATAAGGCTCAAGGTCAAACGATACCTAATGTGGGATTATATCTTCCCCAACATGTTTTCTCCCATGGGCAACTATATGTAGCTTTATCAAGAGGAATCTCAATGGCAACAACAAAGGTATTGGTTATGACTGAACAACCAGATACGGGGACAGGGACATATGCAAGAAATATCGTATACAAGGAAGTATTAGGTTAGCGACGCTTTCAATCTTTAGTAGCGTAATCAAGTTGGAATAAAAATAACTTATTACATGTAGCTAATGAAAATGTCTTTGGTCATATTTATAGGTCCTGTTGAAAAAGAGACGAGCTAACCATCAAAATGCAATTTCTGAAGCAAATACAACTATTGTGAAAAATTTGATATTGATAGTTAGGATACAAATGACTTCAAACTCTTGGAAGGTATCCTCTATTTTAGAACAATGTCATAAACACAACCAATTGTAGCTTCGAGCAGTATTACATATCCGCTTATTCATTTGAACTTCCACACCATTAAATGCATCTAATAAATTCAAGACAATTTTCAGAAATGGAGTATTATTTCAAAACAAATATCTGGTAGCTAACGAACATCCATACAAACAAATCTCTTAAGACCTATGCCATATATTGAACAAATAGAGTGTGTATGCTTTAATGCTGCCCAATTGTAAGCATGAACTAATATTTGGTAACTAAGAAACATCCATACCAAGAAATACCTTAAAGACATATTCCATATATGGAACAAAACGAGTATTCATTCTTTAATGCTTCACAGTTGAACACATCACGAGACTAGCCAACCACGTGCAACGCACGTGCAGTGAATCTAGTTCAATTAAAAGGGTAAGTATTTCTAGATTTTACTATGGATCATATTTAAAAAAATGAGTTCCCATCCGGATTCTCCATTGAATTCTAATTGATTTTATGACATCAATTATTTTCATCAGAGATCCTCTTCCGTTTATTCAAAGAAAAAAATATAAAATAAAAAACAAAAAAATAGAGGTTGATGAATGAAGAAGGACAGAACGAGGAGAAAATATGCAATAAAAAGATTAAATGAAGAAAAATAATTGAAAATGACAAAGGAGGAGACAGCTTTACATATTAAAGGAATTAGTGAAAAAAAAAACAATTTTAAAAGGTTAAAGAATCAGCTTATATAGTTGTTACATATGATAAGATGGATGAAATTTTATAGGCCAATTTATGGGAGTCAAAAATAGTGGGGGGTTTAGAACCCCACAATTTGCTGTTACAGGGGTTTTAGAAACCCCTCTGTTAGGGCTGTCGCTATTACTTTGTGGCAGTTTTAAAGCAACCGCGCATCATTTGCGACAGACAAATAGCAGGGCCTTAACCTCCGTATTTCATTTTGTGGGGGTTTATAACCTCTGCTATTATATTTAAGTACTTCATTTTGTTGGGGTTATAACCTTCGCAATACTTTTGATGAAATAAGAACATTCAATTTCTCATAGTTTATATAAAATTAATCTACAACTAATTCTCATGCTAATTTTGTAGTAATTACCAATACATTCATAATTAAATTAATAAAATATTCCAGAATTAAAAATACAAAGATTTAAGCAAATCATGAAGAAGTTAACATAAATTAATACCAAATGTCATCAAATTTACAATACTCTCGATAAATAAAAAAGAACATAAAAACAAAAACAAAAAAATGATACGTTGTCTTGATGTACACAATGCCTGACTCAACTCACAACTTGACTCAGGTGACAACACGTATCAAAACAATCAGAACTACGACCTTCTGCCACCGTCAACCTTATCGAGTCAGTCAAGTCTACTCCACCATCTTCGCTAGAAATATTAAGTACAAATGCATAATATATTAGGCTCTAAATAAGCGAAAGTCTACCAAGGACTAAATACTTTGGCGATCACACATAGAATCCCGCAACAGGATCACACAACAATGTTTAAAGTGCTCAACTGTGATGTGCATGGAAAAAACATATGAATCATAGTAACTGTCAAATATAATATAATACACAATCACATGCCTAGTATGAAATATAGTTTAGAGTATATGAATTTTTAGTGTTATGCCTTTACGAAATAGTTCCTCTGTTTTGTCACTCCTCTCAGCCATTTCACAGTCAGCATAACACTAAAAATCAATTCAGAGTCAACAGGCATAACACTAAAAATCTATGTCTTGGAGTTCTTCGTATATGATCTTTCACATTCTAACTATTCAATTCAGAGTCAACAGGCATTAAGATGCAAAGAAAGAAAAGGGAAAGGAACCAAGAAGAAATCGAGGAATCAATACCTAACACCAGCATCTCCAACAATACCAACAGTCATTCCAGCAGAAAGACCAGCAAGACCACAAGCAAGTCCAGATGAGAGATGAGCATAGCCATTAAATAGGTAATACGACTTAGTTTTGGGGTTAACCCAGTACTGATGATCACAACAATAATCAAGCCATAAATACCTAACACACCAGCCATAACTACTGGAAAAATTGATTTCACCACCAACTCCGGCCTCATCACTCTCATTGACGCCACTCCAACACCACTCTTCATTTTTCCATAAGCTGTCCCCATACCTATGAATTATTCAAAACAAAATCAAATTTGTGATCAGTTGCAAAAAAGCATAAGATGAGCTCGGGTGATTCACATAAGATGTGCGCATGTCTCCAGCAAAGACAGACCACATATTTAAAGCTTATAGATGCAAAATCTCATCGTCTTTGATGGTCATAACTCATCACAGGTACATGCTTAATAAAATGATATAATTTTCAATACTGTTCAGCTCCATTATAATTCAAGACAACAAATTGAATTACCAGTTATAAAAAAGCAACACTAGCAAATTAGCATACGAAGAACTCCAAGACATTGATATTTAGCCGGAGCCCTGGAATCATACCAAGCATATTTGGGAAACTCCAATTCAGCGAGAAACCATAAACAAAGATTTTCAAATTCGACAGAGAAGATCTAAAACAACAATGAAAATAATACAGTGAAGAGGCATGTCACATACTTTAGCTGATCGTTCCTGGTAGATTAAAGGAGTTAACATCTTTTGAAACACCTACTGCATATTTCCATATAGTTGTTCCAAGCTTGAATTTTTCTGCATACTTTTCCGTGTAGTAGCGACTAGTCAGTTGCTTCGCAACTGTACAACAAGAATATATTAGATTGTCTAACAATTAAAAGAAGGGGAAAGAAGAGTCAAGTTATTGTCTTAATGTAGCTTTTAAATTGACAATTGAAGGAAAAACTAATTTCGCTAAGCTGAAAATTACCTATGTTCATAAGTAACAAGGCTTTCTGTATGCATTGGTCACTGTGGAAAAGAACAATCTAGTTGTTGATTGATTACTTCTTCGATTTCAAAAAAGAGGAGGGCAAAGTAAAAATATATGGGAAAGGAAAAACACAAAAAATTGGAGAAGTTACAGTAGTAAATGGCTCAAAATCCATTTCCAAAATGTTCCCACTGATAACATAAATGAGACAAACATTAAGAATCAAACAAAAAATAACCTCATTCATACAACAAAAATTTGTCGAGTACTATTATTTTCAAATTCATGACTCAAACTACCTTTGACGAGCACGAGCCACTGCGAATGAAACACTAGCACAAACGAGTTACAAACTGAAACAAGCACAAAAGTGGTCCAAGTTACAAGCAGAAACATGATTCTCAGTACAAAAAACATATTACGAGAGAGGAATAGATGAGGAACCTGCGAATCGAAATCACAAAACCTCCAAAAGCTAAATTTTCCAGGTTACATTGTACTATAGCGTCGAATCTATTGCATCAGATAACAGGACATATGTAATTCCTCTACACATCTTGTTTATATCTACATTTATTGGACAAGAACGAGCAAGCTTTTTACAAATGTGCGGTTTAAGGTACAAATGTTACACAAAAATAAGGGAGCAGGGGAAATACAGAGTATTCCTAGTAGTTCATACAACTGGTTAACTGCTCTTCTAACTGTACTTTTTAAAGTTTGCTCTTTGTCAAGTAAATATTATTGTTTCATAAAAAATTTAAGGTTTAGAAGGTACTTTCGTAAACGAACATATTTTTCTAGAAGCTATGCAATGCATTTTTTTTAATACACTAAATCAAACAATGCATAAGAAATAATCTCAACATAACTAATACAAGCATTACTTATACACTCTACCAAACGACGACATGATGAGGAAACACTATTCTAGTGTTCAGAAACTAACTGGCTTAGTCCATGGGTATTACAAATATCAACATAAGAATTTGTCAAGGGAAGACCCAAAATCACAGTTCCACAAACTTTTGGGACATAGAGTTCACTAAAGGAAATCACAAAGCAACAAAAAAGTGTTGACAATTCATAACGATGGAGTTAGCTAAGAATGCAGTTAAATCCCATGACATACAAACGTAACATAACAGATCTAGTCATAGAAAACTCAAAACATGATCTCAGATTTACAGCAAAAATGAACATTAGGTCAGCTTATATCAAGAAAAATACAGATTATGTAGACGTAAGAAGAAACACAAAGTAGTACAAGTCTGCGAAATTCTAATTCCAATACAGGTGCCATAACGCTCATTGGAACAGGATAGCCACATCCAAGTAATCTTCTATCTGAAGTGGCAAGAAACAAATCAATACCAAATGCCGAGAAGAAGGATGAGGACAATGATCTCATATGAACAGAGTGTTAACTGAAATTTAAGTTCACTCAATGTTTTGCTGCCATTATCTGGTCGCCTCACCTTCATATCACAGAGAATAAACACTATAAGATCATTGTTTGCTTGAGAAAATCACGAACATATTAGAGTTTTACCTGAAATTTAAGTTCACTCACGAACCAAATTTTCAACAAAATTGACACTACGAAGAGGAAAGCTATGGACGGATACTTAGAGAGACGTTCCAAGTAACCTTGAGGTAGGTATACTTACCTCCTTTGGCAGAGAAATTAACGGTCCAGCAAACACATGCCATAGCTCCATACACATCAATGCCACCATTAATGGAGTTAACGATGTAAAATCCGAGCTTTCAGACGCCGATGCCGACAAGGATTCCAATCGACACAGATGCCACTGTTTCTTCTCCACTGCATTGCTATCCACAGAAACCCTAAGATGTTAATTGGAGAGAAATTGGAGAAAAGATGAGAA